AAAAAAAAAAAAGAAAGAAAGAAATTGAAACCTATTTTTAGTATATGTGCTGCCGAAGCGAGCACAAGAAATTGAAACCTAAAGACGTCAATCACAAACAGCCAACTAGGCTTTCCCATATAAGGCAACCATTTAAGCTATAGCCAGCCAATCAAATAATCAAATAATTTCCTTGCTTTGTTTCTGCCTCTTCTTTATAAAAGTCTCCCTTAGCTCTAGTTGGTGGAGACCCCTTAACCACCACTTCCTGTTTGGCCACTGCCTGATTGCAATCGATTTTTCCTCAAACTGGAATTTTTTTTATAAAGATTTTAATTTTTTTCAGTAATCTCTACACCCAATGTGGGGCTCAAACCCACAACCCTGAAATCGAATCACATGTGCTACTGATTGAGCCAGCCAAGTACCCCCTCAAACTCAAAATTTTTAATATGCAATCTAGCTCACTGTTTTTCCTGTTCCTCCCAATTTTTTCCTCCCACTTGAAAAAAAATTTTTTTTTTTAAGATTTTATTTATTTATTTGACACAGAGAGAGAAAGTACAAGTAGGCAGAGAGGCAGGCAGAGAGAGAGGGAGAAGCAGGCTCTCCACTGAGCAGGGAGCCAGACGTGGGGCTCGATCCCAGGACCCAGGGATCATGACCTGAGCCGAAGGCAGCCGCTTAACCGACTGAGCCACCCAGGTGCCCCCCACTTGAGAATTTTTAAAGATTTTATTTATTTGTTCGTTTATTTAAGAGAGAGCATGTGTGAGTCGGAGGAGGAACAGAGGGAGAGGGATGAGCAGACTCTGCCGAGCTGAGCGCAGAACCCAACATGGGGCTTATCCCAAGACTGTAAGATCATGACCCGAGCAGAAATCAAGAGTCAGATGCTCAACCCACTCAGCCACCCAGGCACCCCGCACTTGAAAAATTTTAAAGATGAATTAAGAAAAAAGTCATTTGGCATATGTGTAATCTAGGAATATCTAGTCCAAATAGTCTAAAATGTCTAAGAGAAAAAGTCAAACTATTTGTGCTGTTTTGCATAAAATTGTGGACAAGTGCATTTAAATAATAGCTTTTGTTAGTATGATTATAAGAAGAAAGGTTTCAAGATAAAAGGAGCTTTTAAATAAGATTTAATGATTATGAATATAAAGTTTATGAAGTATGTTTTAAAAAGTTTTATGAAATATTTCTGATAAATAGGTGGATTTGGGTACAGGAATGAATATATATGTCTTCTTCCAGGTTTTATTATATAAAATTAATGGTAATAAAATCTTCTAGTTTATATAAAACTAAGATTGAACTTCTCATGATTTAAACTTTCCAAATTTCCTATATCTTATGGGTCAAATAATTTATTATTGACTCCATCAATTGTGTAAGATTACAGAATATAAAATGGTGTTTATCTAAATAAAATTGAAATACAGATGTCTTTTAAAGGGGTTTTAATCTGGGTGCCTGGGTGGCTCAGTCAGTTAAGCACCTGTCTTCGGCTCAGGTCATGATCCCAGGGTCCTGGGATCGAGTCATGCATTGGGCTCCCTGCTCATCGAGGAGCCTGCTTCTCTCTTGCCCCACCCCCACTCATTCTCTCTCTCTCAAAAGAAAAAAAAGGGGTTTTAATCTTGTAAGATTATGATAATACTATTAATTATAAGGACTAAATGTGTTAGCTAAAATTGTAAATTCCAGATCCTTAACTAATTTTAAGACTTCATTTTATTTTTTTTTTTTAAAGATTTTATTTATTTATTTGACAGAGAAAGACACAGCGAGAGAGGGAACACAAACGGGGAGTGGGAGAGGGAGAAGCAGGCTCCCTGCCGAGCAGGGAACCCGATGCGGGACTCGATCCCGGGACTCCAGGATCATGACCTGAGCCGAAGGCAGTCGCTTAACCAACTGAGCCACCCAGGCGCCCTACTTGGACAGTTTCTAAGTAAAAACTGGTACAAGATTTTGGTCACCGAAGATAGTTCCAATTTTCTTAGAGATTATAAAATGACTGACTATGAATTAACAGTGTGGAAATGTTTTGGATGATACTGTATATGTGTATTTTGCCACTTAACAGATTTAGGGGTACCTGAGTGGCTCAGTTGGTTGGGTGTTTGACTCTTGATTTTGGCTCAGGTCATGATCTCAGTGTTGTGAGATCCAGCCCACATAGGGCTCTGCACTGGGCATGGAGCCTGCTTAAGATTCTCTCTTTCCCTCTGCTCTGTGCCCCCAGCAAGCTCTCTCTAAAAACACACACACACACACACACACACAAAACCTTAACAGAGATAATCTATAATATGTACTCATAAAAATTTAGCTAGACAGTTCTTGGTTTTCTGCCTTCCAGTTTTTTTGGAGTAAAGAAAAATGGATTACTTAAGTTAAAAGTGATTAATAAAAATAATATATTCATAATAATGACAGAAAAATATGAATATATACACACAAGATAATGAGCATGAATTTTTAATTAAGGAAACTATTTGTTAAAGTGATTTTAGGGGTGCCTGGGTGGCTCAGTTCATTAAGCATCTGCCTTCGGCTCAGGTCATGATCCCAGGGTCCTGGGACTGAGCCCCGCGTCGGGCTCCCTGCTCCGCAGGAAGCCTGCTTCTCCCTCTCCCACTCCCCCCGCTTGTGTTCCCTCTTTCGCTGTGTCTCTCTCTGTCAAATAAATAAATAAAATCTTTTTAAAAAGTGGTGATTTTAGTGTAGTAGATATACTGTTTTATTTGACATAATTATATCTTTAAAGTAACCTTAATTTTATTATCATTTGCATAATCATATATTTATATATTTTAAACAAATACATAAAAGGCTTATAAAGATGAAATTTTTGAAAGTCTATTAGCAAAAAAGTTTATTGGGTATATTCAACATTAATGGCTTTATTCTTCAAATCAGTTTACAAATCGTTTATTGCAAATTAATACATGGATGACATACAAAAAGTAAATTTGAAATTCATCATTGAACTTTTATTTTTCTTTTCTTGTCCCTTGTACTTTGATTTCTATTAATTTGTACTCATTCGTACATTCATTTAATACTTATTGAGCACCTAGCACATGCAAAGGGATACAGAAATTAACAAAACCAAATCAGTCTCCTTATGCAACTTACATTGCCATTGGGAAAGCCTGACAATAAACAGGTATGTGAAATGTCTGGATATATCTAAGAAGTATTCTGAAGGAAAATGAAACAGCATGAGAAGATAGAAAGGGAGGAACCTGCTGGCTTAGAAAAGTTGTTTAGGGAACATCTCATTGATGAAGCTATTGAAAATAAAGGAAATAGATGGCAGTGTTGAGAGACGAGGAGAAGGGCAGGTCCTGATCTATTTTTGAAGGTGGTGCCTATAACATATGCCGACAGATTAGACCAGAGGTGTCCAAGAGTGGTGTTGAAGTGACTAACATTTTTGGTCTGGGCAACTTGAACAGAGTTTCCATTTTCAAAATAAAGACTGCAGAAGAAGGTTTTGGGGAGGAAGATGAGAAGCTCCATTTTGGACATACTGAGTTCCAAAGACTTTGAGATCTAACTGGAATTCTCAAGGTTGCTGTCTTCCATATGGACTGAATATGTTACGTTTAACATAGAACAATGAACTTTTTTGAAATGAGAAAAAACACTTATAATTGATCATTTTTCCATATTCTTTTCAAGTCATGTCTTTTTTTTTTTTTCTTTTTAAAGATTTTATTTGAGAGAGAGAGAACATGAGCGGGGCACGGGGGCTGGGGTGTTGGTGAGGGGCAGAGGGCAGAGCAGAGGGAGAAGCAGGCTCTCCACTGAGCAGGGGTCCGGACGTGGGGTTCCATCCCTGGAACCTGGGATCATGACCTGAGCTGAAGGAGTTGCTTAACCAACTGAAACACCCAGGCGCCCTTCGGGTCATGTCTTATAATTATTTTTTTCCTATTTGTAATAACACAGATAACCATTTTTCTTTTTTCTTTTTTTTTTTACTTAAATTCTGCTATAAACATTTCTCTACATTGCTATAGTGGTGTGGCTGTTCAAGTAGGGCCTTGTATGCACTTTGAAGGGGAGAGGAAGCCATTTCAGATTTTTTTAAAGTTATGAAAAAATTTTAAACCTACACAAAAGTAGACATGACAGCAACAATGAATACGCAAAATAACCACGTTTAAAAGGTTGCATCCTTCCGGGAGCATACAAATGATTAGCTCGCCAAAGCGACTGCACTTTCTCTTCCAAGTCCACAGACGGCGCTAGAGCAGCGGACGGGGCTGCTCTGCTCTGAGGTCCGGAAGTCCCTCCTCTTTCCTCTCTCCTCTCCTGCGTCCTTCGACTCGGAAGCGCTCTTCCCGCACTGATTGCCGGCGTGACTTTGAACGGTTCGAGGGGTGGGTCGGGTTGCTGAGCAGAACCACAGCTACCGGACCTTTACGCCCGTTCTGCGCTTGCCATGAGGCTGCTGGGAGCAGCCGCCGCCGCAGCTTTGGGGCGCGGGCCGCTCCCGCGGGTCCCCGCCACCCTGGGCTGGCAGGGGAAGCAGGTACTAGAGCCCGGCGAGGCGAGACGAACCAGGGACTGCATGCGGGACCTTGCTGTCCCTCCAGGGCTAGGGAACAGTGATGCTTTCCGTGGGACCTCCTGACAGCTCCGGATGCGAGATGTCGTTCCTCAGTGCTGAAAAGTTTTTCGGTACCTGCACATCCTCTCGTTGTTCATGAGCTGCGTCTCGGTGCCTTGGGAGAGTGGACGGGCCAGCAATTTATGGTTCAGCGTCTTTTTGGGGGAAGTGACTGGAGTGACGGTCAGAACAGCTGAAAAATTAGTGTGTTCAGGGTTTGTACCCAGGGCTTCTGACTCATTATCAAGTGCTCTTTTTACTGCACAGTGTCCTTGGGCTTTGGACAGCCCTCTTTGGGCAAACCCTGGGTTGTTTTGGCGTTCGAACTTCTCTGTACTGTACTTTGATCGTATTTCTCCTTTTGCGGGGGTTGCAGAGTGGAGTAGGTTTGGGTAGGAGTTGAGCCTTTGCTAGTATGCAGGCATCGTTTGCTTGCTGGTATTCATGGAATTTCATCTAAGTGCCTGTCCGCTAGAATCCATTTAGTATTTGCCCACCTTTTCCAAGTTCTTCTGTGTCCCTTTACCCCGAAGTGCTGCAGTACATTTTGGATGTGCAGTCCAATAGGGAGAAGTTTATAATGTGTCTTGATTCCGTAAAATGCAAGATTCTCCCACCTCCACCAAAATAGTTTTTTAAAAAGTAATTGTTTTTGTGCAGAAGGAATTGTAAACCTTTTGTGGGATACCTCGGAGCTATCCGCACCACAGCACAGAGCATAAGTGTTTGAAAACATCCTTGCTAGCTGTGAACTACAGTAAGGGGGGGGGAGTGAAATTTAAACAAAAACTGTGTTTCCTATTAAAGTAGTTTTTGGAAGTTGTCTTTCTGGTTTTATCAGCCTCAGCATATATTTTCAAACCTGTGACATTCGGAGAAGTATCTGCTCCCTTTTATTTAACTAGCTTATTTGAATATATTTTTCTGATTTATTTATTTTTAAGATTGTGTATGTCCTTTCTGCCCTCACTTGCAGTTTCTGCTTTAGTTACAGGAATTGCAGGTTGAGGCATTCCCTCTTTTGCCTTTCCAGGCTATTTTACATGATGTTTTGTGTCCATTGAGATTCGTTGGTGGAAGGATACCAACCAAACCAATTCTAGTTGCCTGTTATCTCTTATAAAAAATGCATTGATTTCATCTCTTATTTTTTCAGGTTAATTGGAAAGTTCACCGATGGTGTTCATCAGGAGTGATTCCGAATGAAAAGATACGAAATATTGGAATCTCAGCTCACATTGATTCTGGGAAAACCACATTAACAGAACGAGTGCTTTACTACACTGGCAGAATTGCAAAGATGCATGAGGTATGAGGTTCATGGTTGATTCCAAGCTAGTTAGAGCTTGGTTTTAATTGTTTAGTAGTTATGATTTAATAAACATCACAAAACCTGAAAGATTAAAAGAATGGTTACAGTGGATCTTTATCAAAGTCATATCACAAAGGGGGTAGATAGCTCAAATTGGCTTGCAGTGTTGTTGTGAGGAATCTTTCTAGAAACCATCACTATGAGTATCCTCAGTAGATTGTCTTTTAGGAATGTTAAGTCTACACCTGAAACTAATATAACATTGTCAATTATACTTCAATTAGAAAGTTAATTTATATGATATATTCTTAAGCAGCTGTTAAAGTATTATTTACATATTTTTTAATATTATGTAGAGATGTTTATAATGTTAAGTGGAAAAGGGTTTTAAAACTATAGTATAATGTTAATAGTCACAAAATACATGTATCAGGAAAAAAATTTTTTAACTTGAAAGTCTTCTAAAGAAATTACCATATCATTGAGTAACTTAACTCTTCAGATGAAGGTCATCTTGCTAAATCACGTATTTTGAAAGCTGAATCCTTCCCACCCAGGCCTCAAAATCCACATGTCGTAGAGCAGGGAAAATCTGTTCTTTGAGCTTCTGCTCATGGACTACCACAAGGCTGGTGGACAGGAACAGTGCAGAGGAAACAAGACTGAGGTGATTGCTCCATGTTAGCTGTTGCTGGGAACAGCAATGGAAAGAGGGCTAGACAGTAAATAGAGGGCAAAACTTGTAATCACTTTTCTGTTTCACAGGATGATATGGTATGGTCTGACGATAGCCTTCTCTGAAAATTGCATCAGTTAACTATCTGTGTTCTAGTTCCATCTCAGTAAAGATTTCTTTCCTTCTTGGGATGCAGGGACGGGGGACTGTGAATTGCTGTGCTTGTGTTTAGGTGAAAGGTAAAGATGGAGTTGGCGCTGTCATGGATTCCATGGAACTAGAGAGACAAAGAGGAATCACTATTCAGTCAGCAGCCACCTACACCATGTGGAAAGATGTCAATATCAACATTATAGATACTCCTGGTGAGCTGAATTCTTGGTTTTATTGTTGCAGCTTGTTTTGACAAAAGCACATTTAGTTCTTTACTATGACCCAGCTCATTTTTGAGTGTCAAATGATACTCAAAAGTGTGACTGTGAATTCCTTGTGGAGAAATCTGACTTGGGACCTAGAGCACTTCATCATTATGTGGTTTCCTTAAAAAATAGTGTAAAGAAATTGTGGGTTGGAAGGTTCTTGCCTCTTGAAAACTGTCGCTGGTTTAAGGGTGCCCATGCTGTCATAGTTTTTTGAAGAGATGGGCCCCTGGACCTTGTGGTGAGTAAACAGTATGGTGTTTTAAGAAATCCGCATTCTAATTGGAAGACTTATGTCATGAGCAGAGATACAGAAGCTTGTAATCGTGCATGTTATAAAAATTCATACTTTGAGACCCTCATACACTTCGTTGTCTCATTTAGGACATGTGGACTTCACAATAGAAGTGGAAAGGGCCCTGAGAGTGTTGGATGGTGCAGTCCTTGTTCTGTGTGCTGTTGGAGGGGTGCAGTGCCAGACCATGACTGTTAATCGTCAGATGAAGCGCTACAACGTTCCTTTTCTAACTTTCATTAACAAATTGGACCGAATGGGCTCCAGTCCCGCCAGGGCCCTGCAGCAAATGAGGTACTGAGCCTTAGAAAGAACATGAGGGGCTGTGATGATTTGGATAAGAAACCTTAACACAGAAGGACAATTAACTCAGTGTCATTAACTTTATTCCTAAAAAAAATTTTTTTCTCTAAAAAATTTATTTATGTGAGTGGCTTATCTTAGCAAAAGGAACACTGAGGTCAGTATTTGGTCTGTGGTGAGATCTCATCAGCTACCTTCTCTGTAAAATGGGGAAAATGTGACTGAAATTGTAGGGAGGTTTGAGGTGAGTTCAGAAAACAATCTGGCAGTTCACTGCTTTGCTGTGATTAGAGAAGTAATAATCTAGTGTGGATTCTAAAAGTACTTTATATGTTTGGGGCGCCTGGGTGGCTCAGTCGTTAGGCATCTGCCTTCGGCTCAGGTCATGATCCCAGGGTCCTGGGATCGAGCCCCGCATCGGGCTCCCTGCTCGGCGGGAAGCCTGCTTCTCCCTCTCCCACTCCCCCTGCTTGTGTTCCCGCTCTCGCACGCTCTCTCTCTCTCTCTGTCAAATAAATAAATAAAATCTTAAAAAAAAATAAAAGTACTTTATATGTTTAGACAAACCTAGAGGATCACCTTCTGTTTTAACCTTTACTTAAGGAATATTTTTTTTTAAAGATTTTATTTATTTATTTGACAGAGAGAGACACAGCGAGAGAGGGAACACAAGGGGAGAGGGAGAGGGAGAAGCAGGCTTCCCGCGGAGCAGGGAGCCCGATGCGGGGCTCGATCCCAGGACCCTGGGATCATGACCTGAGCCGAAGGCAGACGCTTAATGACTGAGCCACCCAGGCGCCCCTACTTAAGGAATTTTTAATTAATGCCCTTAAGGAGTATGGTGTATTCCCGTGAGTTCATATGGTAACATACTTGCTAAGACAACAGTAACACTCCCTTTCTGTACCAGATGTAACTAAGTCTGGTTGTAGCATTTTACACTTTGCCCAATACTGTATATTTTACATAGCCTTTGAAAAGAGTGGAAGTTTCACTTTTTACCTTTGGTAGATGTGTAAATGGAGCTATCAGGTCCCTATTCACATTTCCCAGGGCAGAGCTGATGAAAATTGTAAAGTTTGTGGTAGTGGAGAGACCAAGAGTGATGTGCCCGATGACGAAGGATATGGTGTTGAAGAACTTCAAGCGACAGTATTGCTGTGTGCACTGATGGAAGTGATGTATTTGGGAATATAAGCATGAAAGTTTTCTTTATTGGGTGCTTTTAATAATTTCTTGGCAAAACAAAACCTTTTCACTTTTTGTCCTTTTTATTTATATTTTACTTGTACTTGGCAGTGGATGGACTGTTTCCACCAGGTCTTTGACTGAATTCCGGGAAAATTCTCTTTTAGCATTTATTTGACTACTGCAGTTCTCTTTTTGCTCTACTCCCTTTTATCCACATTCTGTAACTCCTGTTAAACAGATTTTAGAACTTCTGGATCTCATCTCCATGTATTAACTTTTCTACCATACACTCTCATACATTTTGTTTCTTCTCATTTTGGGCTGGGTAATGAAAGAATGCTTGAGGTCGGTCTTCCAGCTCACTAATCTGAGTTACCTGTGTCCCTTCTATTATTAATTTAGCCTGTTTTTTTTTTCTTTTTAATTTCTGCAATTATGTAATTGCTTTCCTAAACTTTCTCTTTTATTGCAACGTCTTCATTAATAGAGAGGTAGTTACTTCTCAGATCTTTACTTTTTTTTTTTTTTTTTATAACTCTCTACTTGGAAGTTAATACAGTTTCTGGAGCTCACACCTCTCTTTCAGGCTATTGGTAACCTTCAAATATTTGGTGATTCTTCGTTATCTATCCATAGTTATAGATGGAGGCCTAGAGTCTAGACTAAACAGTGGTGGCCAGAGCATATTTCTTTTTGAGTGAGAATTCTTGCCAGTGAATCCCTTCACTGATTGTGCCTGATTGAGGGAACAGGCTGATGATGAGTGTCTGATTTTTAACGTGCGTGCTAAGAGTTCTCCTGTAAGAACTTCCTCTTCAGATAGCTGTACTCAGCTTTGCTAGAGTTGGCTGATCTAAGAAAGAGAGATGGGCAAGGTGATCCCACTGTCCTTTAAAAATTTTCTGACCAACCACCATTGATTTGTTCTTTCCCCTTATGTTTTGATCCAGGATATTCTGGGGATCTGATGGGAAAACACTAATTTTAGAGTTCTTTTGTTGCCTAAATAGGGTTTTGGCTTCCTGAGCATGGTGAGTTTGGATGTTCCCAGCTGTTTTATGTTTTCTGTTTGGAGTTCCTGATTATACCCCTCTCAGTTCCACAACATCTGCCATTCATTTATTTTTGTCATTTCAAAGGGATTTAGGGAGGACATTTGTATTTTTATTTTTCAGGTCTAAACTGAGTCATAATGCAGCATTTATGCAGATACCCATTGGTTTGGAGGGTGATTTTAGAGGTATAATAGATCTTATTGAGGAACGAGCCATCTATTTTGATGGAGACTTTGGGTAAGTTAAAAATATATTTTTAATATCTTACATTTTAAAAAGCATCAAAGAGAAGAAAAAGGATGATTTCTTTTAATATAGAGAAAACATCTTTTTAAAATGTGGCTGGAGGAATATACTTCAAAATGATTTTGTTTTAATGCCTTTAATGCTAGTTGCTTCCCATTTTGCTTGGTATTCATTCCAAGGGAGAGTGTGTTACTTTTTGGGTAATTTATATCATGTTATGATATGCATGGTATGGTAAAAGGCCATCAGCTTGGGCTAATAATGTATCTCTTTTTCCTTGTTCATTTGATTCATTCTGTAGACTTTTATGGAGCCGCTACTATGTCCTGGGTATGGTGATAAAAACTTGGAAGAAAATATGGATCATGAATATTTGCTCTATCTACTTTGAGATTACAGAGATAAAACAATAATATGTAAAAGCAGTTAAATAGTACAAATGTGGTTTCGATAATATAAGAAGCAAATTGGTAATTTTATGACATGATATTTGATCCATCAATCAATTTTGAGTGACCTCTACATACAAAACACTGTAATTTCCAGTGGTTATCAAACTTTGACATTCAGAAAGATTACCTGAAAGCTTGTTAAAACACATTCCTGGATCCACCTCCAGAAGATTCTGATTCAGTACATCTGGAGCCTGGAATTTGCATTTCTGGAAAGCTCCCGGGTGATGCTGGCCACTGTAGATCTACAGACCGTATTTTGAGTGGCACTGTTTTAGACAATGTGGGAAGTCATAAATGACCCTTCCTTATGAGGAGTGGCCTCAATAGCCTAGCTGTTTCTCCAGAGGCAATTCCTCAGAGGTTTCCTTTCTCTGCTGTGAAACTGGGATTGCTAGCCTGGCAGGTGGGTGAAGGGTGTTGTGTTCAATTAACCATCATTTATCCTCATCAGCTGTCTTTTTTTTTTTTAAAGATTTTATTTATTTGACAGAGAGAGACACAGCGAGAGAGGGAA